CAAGAAGCACAGAAAGCCCCAAGTAAGAACCCAAACAGGCCCATACCAAGACACATAGTAACTAAAATGCCAAAAATTAAAGACAAAGAGAGAATCCTAAAAGCAGCAAGAGATAAGCAACAAGTTACCTACAAAGGAACCCCCATAAGGCTTTCAGCTGACTTCTCAATAGAAACACTACAGGCCAGAAGGGAGTAGCACAAAGTAATCAAGGTCATGAAAAACAAGGATCTGAATCCAAGACTACTCTATCCAGCAAGGCTATCATTCAAAATAGAAGGTCAAATAAAGAGCTTCCCAGACAAAAAAAGGCTAAGGGAATATATTAGCACCAAACCAGCACTGCAAGAAATGTTAAAAAGAATGCTGTAATTAGTAGAAGAAATAAAAAGAAAAATATAACCACACTAAACAAAAATGGCAATAAATAAGTACATATCAATAATCACCTTAAATATAAATGAATTGAATGCTCCAATCAAAAGACAGAGTAGCTGATTGGACCCAAAATGTTGCTTACAAGAGACCCACCTCACAACAAAAGACTCACATAGCTTGAAAATGAAGGGATGGGAAAAAATCTAAGCAAACAGAAAAGAAAAAAAGCTGGGTAGTAATACTCATATCTGATAAAATAAATTTTAAAATGAAGGCCATAACTAGAGACAAAGAAGACCACTACATAATATTGAAAGGATCTATACAACAGGAAGATATAACCTTGGTAAACATATATACATCCAATATAGAAGCACCAAAATATATTTAAAATCTTCTGGAGGACTTCAAAAGAGAAACTGACAGCAATACAATCATAGCAGGGGACTTCAACACCCTGCTGACATCACTGAATAGATCCTCTAGACAAACAATTAACAAGGAAACAGAGATTCTAAATTAAGCACTAGATCAAATGGATTTAATAGATATCTACAGAGAATTACACCCCAAAACTGCAGAATTCACATTCTTCTCAAGTGCACATGGGACATTCTCAAAGAAAGACCACATGTTAGGACACAAATGAAGTCTCTACAAGTTTAAGAAGACTGAAATTATATCAAGCATCTTCTCAGATCACAATGGCATGAAACTAGAAATCAACTGCAACAACAACATGCAAAGACACTTGAAAACATGGAGGCTAAATAGCATGTTATTAAACAATAAATGTGTTACCAAGGAGATCAAGGAAGAAATTAAAAACTTTCTAGAAACCAATGAAAATGAACACACAACAACACAAAATCTATGAGATGCAGCAAAAGCAGTTCTGAGAGGGAAGTTCATAGCACTACAGGCCTACCTCAAGAAATAAGAAAAATTTCTAATTGACTATCTAACCTCACAAGTTAAAAAACTAGAAAGCAAACAAAAAGAAAACCCCAGAGCAAGTAGAAGGAAGAAAATAGTAAAGATCAGAGCAGAAATAAACAACATGGAGACCAAAAAAAACCAATTCAAAGGATCAATGAAACAAAGGGCTGGATTTTCGAAAAGATAAACAAGATTGATGGACCCTTAGCTAGACTCACCAAGAAACACAGAGAGAGAACCCAAATACACAAAATCAGAAATGAAAGAGGAGAAGTAACAACCACAGAAATACAAAGGATCGTTTAACAAATACTATGAACAATTATATGGCAACAAATTGGACAACCTAAGCAAAATGAACAAATTTCTAGAAACACACAGTCTCCCAAACCTGAACCAGGAAGAGATAGAAAACTTGAACAGACCAATAACAACTAAGGAAATTGAAGATGTAATCAAGACTCTCCCAGCAAACAAAAGCCCAGGTGCAGATGGCTTCACGGGGGAGTTTTACCAAACATTTAAAGAACTAGTACCCATTCTCCTCAAACTATTCCAAAAAATTCAAGAAGAAGGAAGACTCCCAATATCGTTTTATGAGGCCAGCATAACTCTAATTCCAAACAGAAAAAGATACTACAAAGAAAGAAAACTACAGGCCAATGTCCCTAATAAACATAGATGCCAAAATCCTGAACAAAATACTAGCAAATCGGATCCAGCAATACATTCAAAAAATTATTCACCATGGCCAAGTAGGATTTATCCCAGGGATGCAAGGCTGGTACAATATTTGCAAATCAATAAATGTAATAAACTACATAAACAAAATGAAAGATAAAAACCATATGATCATATCAATAGACGCTGAAAAAGCATTTGACAAAATCCAGCATGCATTTCTGATAAAAATGCTCAGCAATGTGGAAATAGAGGGATCATATATCGACATAATATAGGCCATATATGAAAAACCTACAGCCAACATCATATTCAATGGGCAAAAACTGAAAGCATTTCCCTTAAGAACAGGAACAAGACAGGGATGCCCACTTTCGCCACTCTTATTTAACATAGTACTGGGAGTCTTAGCCACAGCAATCTTGAAAAAGAAGGACAAAGTAGCCCTAGCCATTTTGGCTCAGTGGTTAAGAGCGTCAGCCTGTGGTCTACAGAGACCTGGGTCAGTTTCCACTAAGGGCACGTACCTCAGTTGCAGTTTGTCCCCGGCCCTGGTTGGGTCGTGCAGGAGGCAGCCACTTGATGTGTCCTTTCACGTCAATGTTTCTCTCTCTCTCTCTCTCTCTCCCCCCCACTCTATCTGAACAAAAAATGGAAAAATGTCCTTGGGTGAGGATTAAAAAAAAGGACAAACTATGTGGGATCACAATACTGAATATCAGGTTATACTGCAAAGCTACTGTAATCAAAACAGCCTGGTACTGACACAAGAACAGGCATATAGATCAATGGAATAGAACAGAGAACCCAGAAATTGACTCAAAACATTATGGTCAATTAATATTCAACAAAAGTGGCAAGAGCATACAATAGAGTAAAGACAGCCTGTTTCATAAATGTGTTGGGAAAACTGGACAGCTACATGCAAAAAAAATGAAACTAGACCATCAATTTACACCACACACAATAAGTTCAAAATGGAGAAAAGACTTAAATGTGACTCGTGAATCCATAAAAATCCTAGAAGAAAATGCAGGCAACAAAATTTCAGATGTCATACACAGCAGAATCTTCAGATACATCACCTAAGGCAACAGAAACAAAGGAACAAATAAACACATGGGACTACACCAAACTAAAAAGCTTCTGCACAACAAAAGAAACCACCATCAAAATGGAAAGGGAACCCACTGTATGGGAGAGCATAATCGTCAATGATACATCAGATAAGGGGTTAATTTTCAAAATATTTAGAGTGTTCATACAACTCAAAAAAAGGAAGACAAAGAACCCAATTAAAAAATGCGCAGAGGAGCTGAATAGACACCTCTCCAAACAGGACATACAAATGGCCAAGAGACATATGAAGAAATGCTCAACATCACTAATCATCAGAGAGATGCAAATTAAAACAACGATGAGGTATCAGCTCACACCTGCCAGAATGGCTGCCACTAACAAATCATCAAACAAATGCTGGTGAGGGTGTGGAGAAAAGGGGACTCTAGTACACTGCTGGTTGGAATGCAGACTGGTGCAGCCACTATGGAAAACAGTATGGTGTTACCTCAAAATATTAAAAATTGAATTGCCATTTGACCCAGTGGTCCCACTTCCAGTAATATATCCTAAGAAGCCTGAAACACCAATCAGAAAGAATATATGTACCCCTATGTTCATAGCAGCACTATTTACAATTGCTAAGATCTGGAAACAGCCCAAGTGTCCAACAATAGATGAGTGGATAAAAAAGCAGTGGTACATATATACAATGGAATGCTATGCAGCTGTAAAAAAGAAAGATCTCTTATCCTTTGAGACAACATGGAGGGACCTCCAGAGTATTATGCTAAGCAAAATAAGCCAATCAGAGAAAGAGAAATACTACATGATCTCACTTATTTGTGCAATATAATGAACAAGGTGGGCTGATGAATGAAATAGACCCAGAGACATAGATATAGAAAGGAGTATGGTTCAGACTGACAAACCTCAGGGTAGGGGAGCGGGGGATGGGGGATGGATGAGATGATCCAAAGAACGTGTATGCATGTATGCATAACCAATGACACAGACAACAATGCTGGTGGGGGGAATGGAGAGGAGGAGATTTAGCGGGGAAAAAGGAGAAATGTGTAACAAAAATCAATTAATAAATATTGGAGGAAAAAAATGAAATAAGAAAATGAGGCATGCCTATACTAATCAAGACAGAACAAAGACATAGGAGTAAGAGGGGATGCTAATTGATAGAAAGGGTACTGAAAAGGGAGGAAACGATGGAATCACATTCAATGAAGAGGCTGGAAGTATACTTCCTCCACTGAAGTGGACAAAGGATGAAAGTAAATGTTCTGCTCCCCTAGGGGAGCTTCCTACTTCCTCATTTGGCACATTTACTCATATCTAGTAAACCTGATTACTTGGTTTCAAGATCCAATCACAATACAGTAGAAACAGCCTATTACCAGGGAGAGAACTTTTAGAGGCAGGCAAGCAGAGAGAAGGGAAAATGATCACTTAATGGGCATTTTCATATCAGAGAAGAAAAAGAAAATCTCTGGCAACTTGGAAATATCTATTAAAATATAAATGTATATGTCCTCTAACCAAACATTTCAATTTATACTAATTTGTCTCAGAAATAATTATAAAACGTTCATCAATGTATTCTCATTTCAAAAAGAGGAACACATTTTAAATAAAAAAGCAAACTATAAAACAGTTTTACAGTATGTATAGTATTATATAGTATTTAAAATATGATTCTATTTTTGTTTTAATATATATCTATCTGTTCAAGTGTGGAGAAAGGTCTGAAAAGATATATACCAAAGAGTCGTCATCTTTGGGTACTGGGTTCTGTTTTTTAATTTTTACATTTCTAGAATTAGAATGTTTAATAGTGGATATAGATAGATATAAAACTTCAACTATCAGAAAAATAACAACCAGATATGGAAATAGATAACCAAATAAATAAACATAAATAAACATATTACCTGTTAGATAAAATACATAGTTCTTTTAAACTTGGAGCCATGGAATGATCTTTGTAATTTTCTCGAGAGAAAAATGTCTTAAGGCCATTTTTTGAGGAGACATCCCTGTGAAGCAAAGTAATTTACTTGTATTTGACAATTCAAAATTTCATGCCAGAGTAAGCAGCATAAAGGTACAATTGCAATTTGTAACTACATGCTTTCTATACCCCCTTTCTAGATAGTCACCTCTTCATAATATTAATTTCATATAACAGATGTATGAGTTTACATGTTTTCCTTCTTGGGTAGCTTTTAGCCTAGGCCCATTCTGAAGTTCTCCAGTTCCAACAATCAGCTTTGCTTTTCCTTTATTATCCAATGAAATAAATGTCAGAGATGCTAGAGAGTTAAAAATAGAAGAGATTAAAGTACAATAAAAGGTCTGTCAGGGGCAGGCCTCACATCTGGCTCTGGGCCTAACATTGTTTGGTTACTGACAGAAAATGCTCCTCAATTTATTTTTGTTTCATACGCTACTATGCCAGGCCACAATACACTACAAAGAGTATACCTTCTTATTTTCATTAACTTGGCAAATGTGATAAATGGTATGTCTGTACTAAAACCACTTCTAAGGTCATATATGATTTCCCATAACATTAATAATTTAGAGACCAACATATTATAGTCAATGCCTTCCATATAGTAAACGTCCAGTAAATGTTGGTTGAATGAAAGAATTAAAAAACTAAAAACACTAAGAACCATTTATCTGGGAGGACAAAGACTAGTAGGATTCAATGGAAAAGTATAGTTCAAGGGCTACAATACTGTGCAAAGGCTCTAAACCACATTGGGTTTCACAAAGTCAATGGTATATATAAGCATCCATGCTGCATCAGAACACACACTTTATGGCAAGAAGCATAAATGTGTATACCTCTAATTAAACAGTTACTTTTGGTGGGCCTGTTCCCAAAATGGAAAATTCTAGCACATTTGCTCCATACTAATTTCTTAGTGTTTTTAAAGGCATTTATCCAAAAAAAGTATGATTAAAGTATAAATGGTAAAATTAGAATGTATTACTTGCTATGCACCAGTGTAGTTCCTATTACTTACTATGGTACTGTATATGTGCCATCTCATTACATTTTAAGGTTTTTGCATATCAAACAAAAACAAAGTCATAGGGCTCAGGGATTGCGAGCTCTTTGGGGGAAGAAAGCATTGTCTGCAATAAACAAATACTTATTGAGCACATACTAATTCCATCTTCTTAGACTCAGGTGCTGTTTAATTATCCTTATAATCTCTTGTAACGTTTGTATTCTCCTTGGCTAGCAAACTGTAGATGGTCAGTAAATGTGTGCTAAATTAATCTAAAGCAACACATGTATTAGTTACATCTCTACAAAGCCACTTAGGTTACTTAACTAAGTCCTCTATTTGTGAAGTTCTCATATACTTCTAAAACAGTCCATGCGTTTACATGGTCACTTGATACAGATTCCAACATAACAGAAAGAAGCTTGTCTTTCTTAAAGAGGGGTCTTTTAAGTGCTTGTACAAAAGTGGGCAAGGTTCTTGGACACAAGAAAATTCCAGCATCTCTCCTTCACTAAGAGACCAACAATAAATGCATGAGGGAATTATACCTAGTAGCAATCTGAGCGCTGAATTGTCACTTTAAGAGAGGAAGTGCAGTTAGCTATAACTCAAAAGTGCTCAGTATGTGAAGAGGAGAGTGGGATAAATTCTGAGCTACTAATTTTTTTTTCTTCCTGTTTCCTCCAAATCTCTCCAGGTGAGAAACCCTCCTTTCCTAATCCAGCCCAATCCTACTCTAATTCACTTTAGGCCATTGCAAACAGATGTGACTCACCAGTTCAGCCTTGGTTCGCTCATGGCCATTAGGGAGCTCATATTCTTACACTTCTGCTTCACTTGAGCTCAGTTCTGCTGCCTCGTCATGCAGGTTCCAGCAAAGGCAGGATTTCTCCAGAATCAACACTTCCTGGGGAAAAACAAAAGGTCAACATTAAATTCAAGTGATTGTTTGGGTGGGACAGAGGCTGTTAACCCATGTAAGGAAGAATCAGTTCCTAACACCTACCCTAAAACTGAAAGACACCTACAACAGAATACAGCAGAGATGAACGTTCCCAAGGTTCTTGGTAGTAAAACAGCAATGATGATGTAGGCTAAGTCCTTCTCCATTTAACTTGCTCCAGGAATCACTCTCAGAACACTCACTGGGAAAATAAGCGCCCAAACAGAATGGCGCTGTCATTGCTTACAAACAGCATCACTTCATGGCATGGAGCTGCACATCTTCACTCCACTTTCCCCCAACCCCTAACTGCCAAAATAAATCTTGCCTCGGGTTTCCCAATCCTGCCATCATGGGGCAGATTTGGCAAGCAAAGCAGGCCAAAAGCTTCCTGGGTATAAAATCTTTAAACGAGCCTTGGCCTGCAGAGGAAGGGTCTCAGGTTCGACTCCCATCAAGGGCATGTACCTGCTGGACGCAACCAATGGATGTGTCTCTCTCACACAGATGTTTCTCTCCCCCCCACCCCCTCCAGTCCTCTCAATGTAAAAAAAAAAAAAAAAAAAAAAATCTATGGAAAAATATCCTTGGGTGAGGATTAACAAAAACAAACAAAAAATCCTTCAAAGAGAACCTCACTTTTGAGGTCCAGGCAACTCAAGTGGCATTTCACAGGGTCACTTAGAGGAATCACCAGGACTATAAATCAGGCTCGACCACTCCTTGTTCGGTGCTTCTCCTGCCACCCTGGGCGGGCTGATAAGGGGCAGATGAGAAACTTACAAATTGAGGAGTCGGTCTCTGGGGACCTGCAGGCCTGACCCGCTCCCACTTGGCCCAGCTCTGGCACTTGAACCCAGCGTGGGGCAGGGGAGAGGGACTCAATGAGGGCAAAAGGAATGGCGGGGGGAAAGGGGACTAAAAGATCAGAGATACACGGTTCCAGGGGGCAAGGAAGGGGGAGAGCTAAGCCGGGGCCCGGGGCCGCGCCAGAACCCAGAGCAGAGCGTCCCGTCCCGGCCGACGGGGCCGCCATGGCGCCTCCTCCCGCCCCTCGAGAGCGCGCCCGCCCGCAGGGCAGCGCCCGGCCCTGCGCGTGTCCGCTGCCAAGCGGCCCATCCGCCCACCTCGCGGTCCGCGGTGGCTCTGGCCCGGGCCGCGTCCCGACTCCACACAGTCGCGCGCGCCCTGCGAAGCGCTTATTTAAAGGACGTGGCTCCGCCGCCCCGGCACAGCGTGGTGACGTCACCCGCGACGCAGGGGCGGGGCCCGTGCGACCCGCGCGCTCGAGTAGTTCAGCCGGAAACTGCTCTTGGGCCGGACGGCTGCCGGCCGCTGGTTGTGCTAGGAAGCCCTCCACCTTGCGGAGGTTGGTACAGTACTGGAAAGACCCAGCGGACTCCACTGTCTGAACTTCCCTACCCTCACGTAAGGGGTGAACTGCGCTCGGCTCCGTACCTGGCACATCGTAGCTGCTCACTCCATCCCCACCCCAGTTTAGATGTCAGTTTCCACCTGGCTTTTTTTTTTCTTTTTTCCATTCATGAAGGAAAGCTTTATTGAGCGCTTCATTTGTGCGTGGACTAAGACCAAATGCCGGTTTCTTCCAAGCGCTTTTGATCATTGAGAATCTAGGGACAGAAGGCAGCTTCAGATAGCTAAAGACACGTGTGAGTAATGATGTCAGTTACCGCATTGGGCACTTGACATGGCAGCTCATATGAAGAATTTGAAGTATGAAGATGATGGGGAAGGGCATTCTGGACAGACAAGCACAAGGAGTTACATAAGCGAATTGCATGAACAGAGTTCAGTTTGTGTGCTATCAGGGAAGAGTGTTCTAAATTTTAGAATGATTTATGCTGTTTAAAGTATGTTAGCATAAAATTATACTTAGGTTAAAATTCTCCTTTAAATATAAAGACCTTTAGGTAGGTTATTTTGCCTGGAATTCAAGGTTTGTGAAGAGTAGCAGAACAGGGTTTGGAAAAATAGGCTGGAACAAGACCACAGAAGATTTTGTAAGCTGGACTACGGATTTCTACTTTATTGCATAAGAAATAGAATGCCAGGAAGAGAGGGGAGCTTTTAAAGAGAGGAACAACACAATCAGATCTGTGTTTCAGGAAAGTTCATCTGGCAAGGTACTGGATGAGTTACAGGAAGAGGCTGGTTAGGAGACAGTGGTTGTTAATGCTCGCAGATCAACCTGTGCAATGCTGGGCACTGTGGAGGTAGCATTCCTCATTAGGTGAGTTATATCCACGGCCTGTGTTAGGATAGAGATGGGCGCCAAGGCAATGTAGAAGTTGATGTGTTGGGTACTATCTCATAAAGCATGCTGTCAGAGAGAGAGTTGAGAGTTCTGTCCCAGTCTTCAGAAACTGCTCAAGGACAGCTCCAGAATTGTTTAGTAAACCGTTCTCAACCTGTGGGTCGCAACCCCTTTGGGGGTCGAACGACCCTTTCACAAGGGTCGCCTAAGACATAACAGTAGCAAAATTATAGTTATGCAGTAGCAACGAAAATAATTTTATGGTTGGGGGTCACCACAACATGAGAAACCGTATTAAAGGGTCATGGCATTAGGAATGTTGAGAACCACTTAAGCACTCACACTGCTGGGTTGCACCAGCCCACAGAATAGTGCTGTGATAACATCCCCAGATGTGGCCTGTATTGAGATTCTAGATTATCATCAAACAGTCTGCTCTGGTTTGGTGTATCTTGAGTTCTGGTGGTTATAAGATAGAACACAGAATCAGAATTTTTAGAGCAGAAGAAACTTTGGAGATTATCTAGTCCAACCCTCTTGTTTTCCTGATAGGGAAATTGAGGCCCAGATTGTCAAGTGCATGATCAGTGATAAAGCTGATACTGAAAATCAACTCTCAAAACTTTTGCCATCACAATATATTAAATATATACATCCTTTTTTCCTTTGAGCCCAATTAGAAGAGATAGTAATAATTTACCTATAGGATAATGAGGATTAGAAGTAATATGTAAAGGAGTAAATATGCAAAGAGTAAATGTTCAACAAATAGTAGCTATTTAGTATATACTTTTTCTGCACAGTGGAGGTGGCATTGAAAACAAGTGATTATAATATAAATAAGAAGCAATACACATGCCCTGGTCGATTTGGCTAAGCGGTTAGAGTGTCGGCCTGCAGACCAAGTAGTTGAGGGTTCTGATTCCCAGTCAAGGGCACATGCCTGGGTTGCAGGGTTGATCCCCAGCCCAGGTTGGAGTCATGCGAGAGGCAGTCTGTTGATGTGTCTTTCTCACATCGATGTTTCTCTCTCTCTCCCTCCTTCCTTCCACTCTATCTAAAAATCAATGGAAAAATATCCTCAGGTGAGGATTAACCAAAAAAAAAAAAAAATGCTATACATACATATTATAGAAGATTCTATGGGAACACAATGAGGAAGGAACTCATTTTGACTGAGACACCTTAGAGACTATTTCAGAGAAGTCTGATTTACATTGGGTCTTGAAGAATGAGTAGGAGTTTGCTGGGTAGAGAAGGGACTGCACATTTTCAGGTGTGAAAAATAACAGGAGTGTGAAGTGGTATGTTCTGGGTAAGGGGAAAAGCGACTGCCTAATTGTGTGTGTGTGTGTTGGGGGGGCAGGTTGAAGATCATTGGGGGAGAGGGGCTAGAAATGGTCTTCATGCCACGCTGGAGAATTTGTACTTTTGGACTTTATTCTCTAGTGATGAGAAAACCAATGTGTGTGTGTGTGTGTGTGTGTGTGTGTGTGTGTGCGCACGCGTGTGCGTGCCCATGCGAGAGAGAGAGAGAGAGAGAGAGAGAGAGAGAGAGAGAGAACTTTATTGAGGTGTAATCTACTTACTATAAAATATACTCATTTTAGTTGTACTCTTCGGTGATTTTTAGTAAGTGTGAGGAGTTTTGCAATGATCAACATCACCAAGTTTAGAACATTTCCATTAATCTGGAAAATCATTTGTGCCCACTTGCAATCAATCCTTCTTCCCACCCTCAACCCCAGGAAACATGAATCTGCTTTCTATCTTGATAGATTTGCCTTTTTCTGGACATTTCACATAAATAAAAGCATATATAGTCTTTTGCATCTGGATTCTTTTTCTTAGAATATGTTTGAGGATCATCCATGTTGTAGCAGGTATTAGTAGTTATTTTGTAGCTGAATTGTAGCCCATTTATGGATATGGCTCATTTTGCTTATCCATTTGACAGTTGATGGACATTAGGTGGTTTCCACTTTTTGGTTATTATGAATAATGTTGTTGTGAACATTTGTATACAAGTCTTTGTGAACTTGGTGTCTTCTCTTCTGTTGGGTAGGTACCTAGGAGTGGAGTTGTTGGATTTTATGGTAAATTTATATTTAACTTTTAAGATACTGCCAAACTGTTTTTCAAAGTTATTGTACTGTTTTATTCTTTGAAATTTTAAGCAGAATGGTTGGTTTCCCATTTCTTCTAAACTGAGAAACAAACCAACCCCGAAATTGAATGAGAAGCCAATTTCAGTTTGAAATAATTTATAACAGTAGGTCCTTATTTTGAATTTGTAAATGTTTCATTAGACCAAAATTTCAAAAAGAATGCTTAAAACGGCAAGCACCTGGCTAAGTAAAGTTATCATACTTCTTACTAGGTGTGTGTTTCTTCTTGTGGACCAAACCAAGACAGAAATGTGCAAGATCATCTGTATCTTAGCACATCAGCAGTTAGCCTCCCCAGAACAGGAGCATGGCTTGGTCTTTTCACAGACCTTGCTGGAGAAGCAGGCCAGCTTTGCACCAGTGCATTTGAGCCAAATACACATTAGAAGTAGAAGTCTAATTTTAAGGGGCTAGTCTGATCTTGCCCCATGAAACAAAGCTTAGTAGTAACAGTAGCAACTAAGACATGTGTGGTCAGGTCTTACTAACTAGTCTATGATTATTTCTTTGGCTTTATCTCCAAGAGTTTAATAACCTGACACTTGTTTTCTTTATCTGATTCTCCCATGAGATCATTATAATCAGAACTGTAAGATGTCCCTATTATACTCTTGTTTAAATACGCTTTTTAAAGTGGAGCAAGCTAATCCACAATGGAGAGGTGAGTGTTAACTATTGTTTTTATCAGAAGGAGCCTGGGCATGAGTTTGGCCAAAGGCCTAGAGGTGACAGATTTCATAATTTGAACTTCACTATTTCCATTAACTCTCAATTTTCCAAGATGTTGGAAGGTGGTGAATATATATAATTATATAGAACTAATTTGACAGTCCACAAATATTTCACATGCATGATGTCATTCTTCCTCTTCTCTGAGGCAGGTGGAAATAAAAACAGGATTAGGGGCTGTTTGTTACATGTGGCGATTTTGGGGATCAATTCTAATATTTATTTTACCAAGTGCAAGAGACACTTAGGTATTGTAGTGTGTGTGTGTGTGTGTGTGTGTAGGGAAAGGCCAATTTAGTTGCCTTTATTTTGACATCAGAATATTTCATAATTTGTCCTTGATGTTACTTTAAAAATAATTTATAGTGAGGCTTTTGCATTGTTATAAGCGTGTGATACTTAGCTGATGTTAAATTTATTGGTTCACTTCTATATAATCTACTCAAGAGCAAGGGTGGGGCTGGAGGGGGGCAAGGCTAGACCAGGTAAAGTCAGAATTTTAGTCTCTGGCATCATTACAGTCTTCCGCAGCATTTCTGATGTTCCGCTTTAAAGATTCCTACAGCAGAGAGGACAAAGTATGGTGTGCATTCTCCCCTCCTACACTCAGAGCAGATCTCACTAATCAGTCACGGCACCCTTCTCCTTTGAGACAGGAAGTAGCCTCTGAAGCCTGTACCCATCAATAGACATTAGCTCACAGGTGAAAACTTCTTTGCCTTCTCTGATCAAAAGAGTAGTTTGATCCTTGTACATGCTTTTCCCTCTGCAAAATGGAAATGAATTATTTTTTTAAATACTGTATTATAGATCAGTGCTTCTCAAACTTGAGTATGCAAACCAATCACCCCGGGATCTTGTAAGACTGCAGATTTTGATCTAGTTGTTCTGGGGTGGTGCTTGGGATTCTGCATTTCTAGTAAGGTCAAGGTCACGGGTGATGCCAGTGCTACTGGTCTGCAGACCACACTTTGAAGAACCACAAGGTTCTTCAAAACAGTTGTCTGGAGACACGATGTAAGGTAGAAAACTATGTATAGTGCAACTCAATAAGCAAAAACAAAGAAGAAAAACAAGGCAAGTGTTCCATTAGAAGCTGAAGGTTTATTATAGGATAACAGTACATAAAGCACATCTAAAATTGATGTGTTCAATGCACTTTTAATAAAGGTAATGTAATATTAAAGGTACAGTTTCTAAGTACAATATAACAACATTCATATTAGAATGAAAATCGGAGTATTTAAAAGACAACATTAAATCTCTCTTTTTTTACAGCTTGTATTTACAAAATGAATCAAAATATTTTTTTTTTAAATTCAGGACACAATAAAATAACAAACAGCTGGAAATAAGCAGACTACTTAAGAGTGAATTGAAAAGAAAACCCAATGTATGTGAAAGGTTGGATGATCTTCTAATAAAGATCATTAGCAAAGTTTTAGTACAATACAATTTTTAGGATACCCATAAATGGCTTGCATTTTTAGTGTGGCAGAAAAGTTTTTACATACTGTACACAAAACAGACAGATATATTTATAGGTACAGTATTACTGTTTCCAAACTTGCATGTATATTTACAGAAGGCTGAGTTTGTTACTCATGAGTTTTGTGAAATTTGTGTGCTTAATCTTCAAGACCTACACACAATTAGAATCAGCATTTCATGTGGTCTTTTTAAATGTGGATTTAAAACTTGGTTGTAGAAGAAAGTGGGAACCATAAGGCTTGGCATATTTTATAATTTATGGTAACAACCCAGAAAAAGAATTTGGATTGGGGCACACTTTATTGTCATTTAACAATGATCAAATGCTGGCATGTGCTGGCCATTGTGCAGACACAAAGAAATACAATCTCTATCTTCAGGAAGCTTAGGATACTGAATGGTGCTTTAAAAGAAAGTTTCCATCTCTTTTTAAGCGAAGCAATAAGGAATGACATGATTTGTATTAAAAGAGATTTCTCCTTAAACTGTAACCAATTCACTTTAAAAGGTTAACTATTAGCATTAGCTTTCATTAACCACATGATTGCATTTATAATTAAGGTAACAGCAACTCTTCCATAAAAATGGAAAATGTCTAAATTGTGGGTAAATACGCAGTGCATGGAAGCCAATAACCATGGCTTGAGAATTTATCACCTTCAATTACAAAAAGTGCAGTAAACAGAAACATTTGCTCTATATTTATAAATTGCTCAAAAATCTTTGCTAAAGATCTTACAAATTCAGTAATATTACAGAACAATTCTAATCAATATTTAATAAGGTTAACTACATCCTTAGTTAGATATTTGATATACTTTGATTTTTAACAATGCCAATAGGTCTTGGGAGAATAGGTGAAAAAGTTTAAGGGCATTTTTAAATGACTCTTAAAATGAAGGTCCTTCACTCAGTTCATGGAACTGGCTGAGGTCATATTAAAACAGAACATTCTTTGTCGAATTTGCTCTGTGGCCCACGTTCTGCCACGACAGTGAATGTCTTCATCCTTCTCACGGCTCAGGTAGGAGGGGAACGGTTTATTCCACCATCAAGCCACCCAGGCTATGTTATATAAAGGCCTATTATCTAGAATAGGAGCTAAGTACACAACCCTGTCAGGTGTTAATAATATAATTCCTTAGTAAGAAAAAAAGGATTACTCCATTAAACTAGAGTGTTTCTTTAGGATCTTGAAGGCCTGGCAAATTATTTTTCAGTTCAGGAGATGTGGTATAAAGCCAAGTAGCAAACATAAAGTAAATGCTAATATGTTTTCATATATCCATATTTATAAACAAATTCACCCTATAGATGTCAAATATCCATACTAAGGAAGTAATTTTATCCTAATTAAATACACTCTAGAATAATTTATATAATGATATTATGTATTTAAAGAGAAAAGCATGTCCCAAATCCAGCACTCTGATACAGCTGCCAGTTGGGTACAGGTAGATATATATATATATATATGTATATATATACAAATATATAGTTATACTCAGTGAAATTAACAAGACCCAAAGGTGGTATTGTCTAGGAATAAAAGGGTTTTTTGTTCACAAAAGTAACTTATCTAGCACCACACATCAGAAAAACACAAAAATAGCACACTCTAGTTCTAAACAGCTATGTCTAAAATAGATTATATAGTAAAACCAGTATTATACAGCATATTGTGGATTTGATAAACAGATAAATATTTGCACTGAGTAGGCTGTTTATAATATAACATTTTCTTATCTATACAGAATGAAAGCCAAAAAGTTAACTGTATAGAGATGTGCAGAACAACATTAAATATTATGACTCAAAAGCAGGGATGAAGGTAAATTTGAAAGAAGAGTAAGAGAGAAAATGTTTACAGGCCATTACAAGTTCTTAAGTTAATAGTAAATAAGGAATCAATTGCTCGAGTTGAAGAAAGCAGTAAACAAGAGATTGCATTTACATGCAGATGTCTAAAATTTGTATTTTCTTTAAGTCTATGCACAAAAGTCATTTGTTTTATTGCTTGACATTCAGTTATGGCTAGATATTTAACCTATTTTTTTTTGTACTTTGGAAACAAGAATATTGTTAAAGGTGCCATAAAAATGGACAACATTGAAAACGGTTTGCAAATAAACCACCTAACACTGCAGTTCTTTATACATATTAAAAGCCTTGTCTGGGGGTTGTCATATGTTAAATATATTTAAACTGGGAAAATATGTTGTAGCTTGAAGCCTCCCATTGGCCCAAACATCCAATACAAAAACACATCTCCACAAAAGGAGCAGGCAGACAATACAGGTACATTTAAAGAAGCAGCCAGCTAATGTCCTAATGTATAAAAATTTACCACTGTTTTATGTGAGATTTCAAACCACTGTGGATAGAAGAGAATTTTTGATTCAGAAAAGTGTGTACAGTACATATGAATTTTTGCGTGTGTGAAATCATATTCACTATATGCTTAAGAATTATCTGCATTTACATATGTAATCTGTTCAATGATGACCAACTTCCTAGAAATAGTATTCATCCACATGGAAGTAATAATGAGTGAGAAAGGAACCACACATGAACAGTGGAGAAAATTTAGTTGCTCTTAGAGAACAGAATGGTATGTGTAGCATGTCAAAGCTGAGAGCAAGCTATCTTTCGTTAGTTCTTAAAAGAAAAATAGAAGTGTGATACTGCTAATGTGGTAAACATACTAAATGTAAACAGCAAACAGATTCTCTAGGCATCCATTTAAAATATTCATATTCACTTTCTTAACACAAGACTCCATTTTATGTTTCACTGCTGAAAAAAAAATGTTTCTATTTGGATTGACTACTCTGTCATTCATTTATAAATAAATAAATGATGACTGTACTTGTTGCTCTAAGTTCTGAGGGTCTGTTTAAACATGAAGATCTCCCCACTCTCCCCCGCATCTATGACATTTCCTGGGCATGAAACCAGGCTTTTGGATGATGTTTAAAATTGTTCTGAGAGCTTGACAAAACTGATTGCACTTGCAACACTAACAAACAAACAGACCCAGAAGTGAGACCAATTGCTTCATAAAGGCATAGCTGTTAGCCTTCTCATCTCTTAAGAATAAACAACCATAGGAAGGTCTCTTTAATGAAATCTGGTGGAACCTATTAATAACATTAGTGTGTAGGGATAGAATGAAGACCTGTATGGTAGACTATCAGCAATAGATCAAGATTTACTGTTGATATTGCCTTTCTGGGCACATAATGTGATCTATTGTATAAACTAGTTTTTATGGGATTTTGCTGTGTAATCCTTTTCTAAGTAAGAAGTGGCAATCGAATGCTATAATATGTAAAAATGTCAATAATTAATATATGTATATATATGTATATATATGAGAGATCATATCAAAAACAAGGTAAAGGCTAAATGACATGAAAAGTTTTCCCAAATTATGCTCTTGTATGATGGTCAAAAAAAAAAAAAAAAGTAAAAACCATCTGAATGTGTATTCCAAGTGTGAAATGGAAGAATCAAAGCCAACAATTACACCGAGGTTCACTGACTTTAACGAAAGCAATAAATTAAAATATGAGAACTGTATTTCAAAAATGTAAAACGTGACCCTAAAAGCTGGCTTATGTTGTTACCAGGTGGATTTTGTTTACCTTTAAACATTAGCTCTTGTATTAATTCAACAGATTAAAAACTACAGATGTGAAAGTAGAAGACTTGTGTTACTTAAAGGGAGTTTTTGGTTTGCTTCTAAAGGAGAACATAGTGAAAATAATAGTTGTTTGCTGCCATTAAAAAACAAAAAAACAAAACACATTTTACCTTTTACCTTGCTCACTCCACTGATAGGCAGGGCCCTTATCTCATTTGGTTTAAAAAAATTTTATCCATCTTATGTAGAATTTGAAGTAGTTTTTAATATACTGTATAATGCTATAAATATATTTATCATGAATATTTCAATTATTCGAGAAATGGTAAATGGAGTATGCAGGATTGTCTTTTGAATGATGCTCTCTGTGGGTATATGACCTATTAATTTATCTTTTGAACATACTGGCATAACTTTCTACAGCTCTGGAAGTTACTCAATGTTTTTAAGTACACAAGACTGAAGAACGCATAAGTTCTGAACTGAACAGAATGAGATGATAGTGAAATTTACACACATGTAGTTAGTTCTACACAGTTCACTTGTGCCTTGGAGGGATAGTATTATCATTATTATTAATAATAAAAAACAAAATTTGTCCCAGTAGTACTGGCCACCCTGTTTTAAGAGTTTTAGAAGATCCCTGAGCACATTGTTTCTGACTCTTAACCCCAACTCCAAAATGATAGGGCTTTCTATTGTTGATATCCAGATGGATTGTCATTCACAGTTAAGTCAATCATAAGGTGCTTATTTACCCTTTTTTCTTTCACCAATCAGCACAAAGAACTGTCAGAAAATAACTTTTTATTATTAGTATCTTAATAGCACTGGAAGGACACATGATTTAAACAATCAATGTTTGAAACAGTGGCTTTAGGATTATTATCTGGCTGCCCCTCAACAATAACAAGTGATTCAGTCGACATTCCTTAGCCAAAAACAAAAGGAAAAAACAACAACAACAACTGTACAAATATGTATTTTTCCCTGAGGGATCAAGGTACACCCGCAAGTGCTCTATGTACATATTGCACTAGAGAGGAATGAAGAACATGTGCAAAAAAGCAACGATGAGAGAAGCTTACATCCTACTTAAACCTTTTCATTAAAGATTCTACTAGGTTGTTTTGCATTTTGGAATGTCGGAACACAAACAGCTATTTCTTAGTCTAAAACTAAAAACACATATGTCTACTATGGCACATTCAATGAAATAAAAAGTTTTCCAAAGACAGATAGACAAATTCCATCAAGAAAATAATACAAAGTTTGTTTGTTTGTATTTTTTTTTTAGAAAATTACATTACTTTCTTTCTTTGTTTCACATTACAAAATCTTTTTTTTTCTTTACACAAATCACATTTTATTGCAGGAATATTTCAAGTGCCATCAAATATTTATAGAAGGGTTAAAAAAATAGAAGTCTCTCTAAAGTGGTCCAGACAAGGCTTTGTATAGAATAAATCTTTTTTTCCCCATCTTCTAGTTTTGATTTAAGTATTTTGAATACATTTTCTTTTCCATTGACACTTAGTAGCCTAGAAGCGGTCTGACACACGCACATCATACACAAAAACCACACACACACACACACACACACACACACACACACACTCCCTTCTCACTTGACCCTCAGCCCACCCCTATACGCTCACAGACATCTGGGTATCCACACTATAAAGAACAACCAAACTTAGAAGCAGTGTCTTAAGTCATGTTTTCCTTACGTTAGAAAGGGTGAATTAGGATGCTGAAGACTTTTAAAAAAAATCCATAGCTTTAACGTAAGTTAGGATGCTGAACACTTAAAAAAAAATCCATAGCTTTAACACAATGTGCAAACTGTCCAAGAAAGCACTTTCATCTGCACTTTCGATTCCACTGTGACCAAGGCCAGTTTCTTCACAATAGAATGCAGCCAACTGGACACCACTGTAACCAATGGCATTCGGTCTTTGTGCCCGATATAAAATATTATATAAAAGGCCTTATAGCAGCCGGATGACAATGAGGTGATTCCAATATTAAAAAGACTAGTGGACATTTAAGTTTAGGGAACTTTATAAGAACTATTATGAATAATTGGTCGGCATCACCAAATATTTTGTATCACCACACAGGTGTTTCTATAATAAGAAAATAAAAATGCAAAGTTTTCCACATCCTTTTCTATACCTGGTTTTTTTTTTTTCCTAGCTGAATTTACTGTTTAACTTTAGATCCCAACTTTGATCCAAGTAATAGTTGTTTCCTCATTGCATTGAGCATGCCTCTACTACACTGTTTCTACACTCTAGCTGTGCTTTGCTCTTAAAGTCCACACCCTGCTTTTCTTTCACAAAGACCTAGTAGCAGCATCGTGTCAATGTATCTTGGTTTACTCTAAAAGCAATGTCACCATGGTGTGACTCTGATTAGAGCATCATTTTTGTTTGTTTGTTGGTTGGTTTGTTTTTGCATTAGGTACATGTAAAATCCTTTCTGGAAAAAGGAATTTCTTTTAAGTTCAACATTATGTTCTCTCTCACCCCTTAGAGAAGTTCAATGAACTCTTATCATTTCAAAAACGGACACTGGAATTAGGTTTAGTTGCTCTTTTATGCGCTAGCACCTGAGGCTGGTCATATTCAGAAAGCTTTGGTTAAAAAGAAGTTAATATACTTTAATAAAACCATCCCCAAATTTAGTGAATCAGAACGACAAAAAACAAAGAAAACAAAACCAAACCAAAATAAAAATACACCATTTTCCCCCAAAAGGAGAAACAATAGGAAAAACACAGACAAATAAATAACTGAACTAAGCTTGGTACTTTTTTCAGAGTATAAATACTATTGCTCTTTAAAGGAACTATGCTTATTTAAATTAAAAATTTGATTTAACCCTTCTTGCCCAAATATAAATACTATATGCTTATAGTTAACCTCTCTATATAAACACTCATAAAGTTTTATATGCTTGTAAGAAATTTAAGTAAATAATACTCTTGTCTTTTATTTATGATTAAACCCTTACTATATTTTTGAGAAAAAAAAATTTAGATGTTATTTAGGCTTCATACACACTTCTGTGTGAATAATTCTTTCTCCTTTTCCAAGTTTCTCAGGAAACAGGTCAGTCAGTGGAGTCATAAGCAGAGTGAAGGGCTCTGGGAAGCCTGCGCTGCAATCCAGCATGACACTGGGAGCCACAGTTCCCACAGAAGAGCCAGGAGGGACCCTGGTGGGGAAGGAGGGACACTTTCTCCACTATAAAGGGCTGCTTGGAAACTTGCACCTTTACACTATGGAAGGATGTTCCCTTTCCCGAAGTTGGACTCCTACCCCGAGTGGGACTGAAATCATCATCTGAATGCCTACATTCCCAAAGGTCACTTATTTTTAAAATATGCACCCTTGTATATCAGACAGTTTTTCTCCCTTCCTCCACTGGGAATTATTTTTAAAAAACCCACACAATTAAACAACAACAACTCACTATTTCTCACCTGAACACCAAAGCCAAACAATCTTCTAAATACTTAATGAAATAAATTACAGTCCACAGTTTTCTAGCGACGATAAATAGGAAAGTAAATGTTTGCAGTTAGCACTGACTTCAAAGGCTTAAAATATTTAATATTTAAATAACAAACTTGTTCAACACGGCATGCCTCCCTCACCCTCTCATTCATTGTCTATGAAATATGGAGAACAACATTCTAGAATTCTAGCATCCAGAGGCAGCTAGCCTAGAAACAGTTCACTCTGAGATCAACTCTTAGGGCTCCTAGATCATACCAAGAACATAAACATTCACAAAGTGAATGCTTCCTGTCCTCACATGGGGAGTGTGCGATGGCTCCACATATAATCTTTGGGTCCTTATAACAAAAGCTGAATTCCAATAAGATATTCTGGCTACTGATTTGTTCTCAAAGCATACGAATTCCAAGTTGAGACTGAGTCTATATAACTACTGAGTTGTATAAAATGAGCCTCCCCACCCCTGCCTCCTAGAGGTGGCATTTTAAAAAGCTTTTAAAAAAAATTCATGATGATGTAAGTCCACAGCACCAATCAATCATTCAACTTTGTATGAAGCATAAACACATCTATCCTTAAACTTACCCAAACACAAAGTGTAATTTAGGGAGAGTTCCATTTCTAATTCCAAATTCACATGTAAAAAAAAAAAAATCCAACATCATGGTTTCTAGATATGACCAGCCAGTCTTTTAAAAGTAATTTTGTAAACAGCAGCATAAATACCTCCCGACGTACCTTCCAAGCCTTCTCAGTTAAACTTGTGTTTCTGGTGCACATGCGACACGACAGTGAACACGCGAGCATTTAATTTAAAGAAAAAGGTGCAAAATGAAAGTGCCTTATCAATTCAACAGGAAAAGCTACACCAGTAACTACATTTTATATTAATTAAAACAATATATAAACAATATCTCTTTTAGCTATATATAGTCTTCATGCCCATTTACCCTGTAATATATTATAATGCTATTGTTGCTAGTGCTATGGACCCTTTCTGTGCCATCCTGCTGACTGGCAATAATCGGTGAAAAAAATAAAAACTTCCTTCATGAAACAAAGAACAAGTTGTGCAAAGTAATGCTGCAACCTCCGCTATGCACACCAGTCACCGATTATTGCTGGACTCTCTTGTTACTAACAGATTGGTGACTCTGTAGAAAGTCTGTGGGCAGTGAGCTACAAGAAAAGGAAATCCTCCAACTTTAGTACCCTCCTTCTGTTGTAAACAGAGGTCAACGATCAAGAAGTCGAGACAGAAAAAGGGTCCATATCTGTAGGCATAATGGAAATCATATGCATGAGAAAAACAAGTTCAACTTTTATTTGTTTTCATTGTTTCCCCTCCTTTGCCTGACCCCGATCACCAAAAGATGTGCAGTGTGTTGGCGCTCCAGGTCTGTGCAGGGCCATATAAAGTGTCTCGGTTAATATTTTTTGTTTGTTTTTCATGTTTGTACTTCAGACATTCTAGAAGTGCTTAGGTGATACATTTACCCATCAATTTGCATTGCTGGCTCAAATTCTGAAGTGAACAACTCCTTGTATAATGGAGGAAAATGAAGTCGCACAATGTCTGGATATATTGCTTTAAATGCCATTAGCTTTTCTGTATGTCGTCCACATAAGGCTCTTAATGTAGACACCTTGCATATTAACTGTAAGTGGAAGAAAGGACATGTTGTCAGGAGAGAACAGACAGGAGAATCAAAATTCAGTGAATCTGGATGATCTTTACAACTTTGTTTATAATGGCAAAACACACTGAAAGCAACTTAATCGTCTAGTAATAGAGGGTTGGTAAAAATAAATGATGATATAATTATATCACACAATACCAGGTATACATTCATCTCTACTGATAACGAGTTTCTTCTTGAGAGTTTGCCTAAAACAAAGCAATTCTGAGTCTAAGTCCCTGAGTAAAGAAATAAAGAAAAGTCAGAAGGCCTGGAGAAAGTCCCAGCGTTGACAAACATTTACCAGTTGAAAATAATAACATGATTTGCAAAAATGCTTTTAACTCTAAAACACTATGCAAATACAAAATATTGATTATTTCAACCCCCTCAAATTCCTCTCTAAGAAATGTTTTCACCAGGTCATAGATCTTGTCCATGTGTTAAGTACTTTTTATAATAAAATAACCTAATGGCACCCAGGAGTTGGGGTGAGAAGATGGAGAAATGGGGAAAGCTCCCAAGGGTTCATCTTCCTTCTAGTTCCCACTCTCGCCCCAATCTTTCACTCAACAGGTGCAAAATAAAAAACAAAGCAGCAATTACCCCCAAGTTTCCCTTCCTGAACTAACCTAGCTATCCAGTGAAAATAAACAAATGGAAAAAAAAAAAAAAAAAAACCTTTCAAATCACCCTCTTGAACAATAAAACACATAATAATCTAACAATGGGCTGATGTTTCTCAGACCGAATACATACTCCTGGCTTTGGCACTGAAGAATATTAGCATATCTTAATTTGACATCCTAATTATGCTTTTATGGCAAAAGATAATAATGAGCAAAAATGAAACCTTTTGCTTTGAATACAGGGTGGTAATGGGAAACTGATGAAGAAAATACAAAAGTCATTTACTGTTGATGACTGATGAGGTTAATGGAAAGCGAACTAATATTAGAATATATGGTTATCCTGGTTAATTGTTTTAGTACTTTATAGCTTTCTCTTTCAACATTCAAAAATTCTCTAATTTCTATCAATGCAGAACATTAACTTTTTGTGTTCAACTTTGATGGGATAGGAAGAGGATTTCCAGAGTGTGTTAATGCTTAAAAAATTCTACTACAGTATTTCCCTATTATTGTAAGGTACTTTATAACCAATGATAATAAATAGAATTTAACCTGAATTTTGGTCTAACAGACCTTTTTGAAATGGAGATATTTCTTTCTTTTCAGTAGCCTGTTGCTTACTGACACTTTTGGGGGCTGGTCAGGTGACTTACAAGGGCGCTGGCAGCATGATACGTGGCAAGGGATATGTCAGGCTACGCCAACTGGAAGCCTTTGGCTCTCACCTTTGTTAGTATTCCGTCTTCTCGGTGATTCTTTTGTAGGACGTGTTGAAGAGCTAGCTGAATTTTCTGTTGCAGTTTTTCAATTTTTACCTTTTCCTGCAGCCATGAGCGATCTAAACATGAAAAATGATATTCCTTAGTGTTCCTCCAACATGGTGTCAGACTCCCCAGGTCCCCCCGACTCAGGCCCAGAGTGTTACACCACAAGGCAGAGTTTGAGATTAACAGGCCAGTTTCCTTCTTCCTTCAAAATATACTCCTAAGGGAGTGGAAAACTGATCTATGACAGTTTTAAAAGGGCATTAAACCTTCCCATTGTTACTGATACCCACAGGAAGGGAGGGTCCCCCCTTCCGAAAGGATAGCCGTTGAAGTCTGAGGCCATACATGCACACGGGTAATGGCATCGCCATGGCCCCTCAAGCCTTTCTAAGAAGAACATTTCTGAATGAAATATTCACAGAGGTCCTGCTAGCCTTTCTGGAAAATATGAAACTAACTTTATAATCTAAGGCAACTAAAATTGTCAACAGAATTCCAGATGACTTAAAAGTTTGTAATTTAGGATAAAGTCTTTATAGGTAAGAATTCCGAGTAGAAGACAGTAAATTAGCAAAACGGATGATCTCCAAGAGGCAATGCTGGTTGAAAACATGGATTACAGTCGTCCCTCGCCACTTTGAGCTTTGACTTTCGTGGCTTCACTTTATCGCGGCTTCTTCAAATAATGTACTATACTATATACTATACTACGTTTGAGAAAACCGCGACAGAGTGATGCCGCGAAAGTCAAAGCACGAAATTGCGAGGGACGACTGTGTATAAATAAAAGAATCCTACTTCATGGAAATTGATTTATCGTGGTAGAGTATGGAACTGATTAACTGCGATAAACGAGGGCCGAATGTAAATTCAGATAAACTTGTGGATGACATCCAAGTGGATTTCAGGAAAAAGTTGGATATCTTAAAAACCATGTTATCTTGGAGGCTGGTGTTGAGAAGGGCAACCCGACTCTACCATAGCATTTCTCTTGGTATCAGGAAACAGTTACTTGTGGATGGGGTTTGACTCAATTCTCATTTCCTAAGATTTTATCAGAATGGCATGAAGTCTTTTTTTTTATCCTCACCTGAGGACATTTTTGCATTTATCCTGAGATAGAGTGGGAGGGAGGGGGGGGGGGAGAGAGAGAGAGAAACATCAACATGAGAGAGACACACTGACTGGCTGCCACTCACACAACCCCAACTGAGGCCAGGGACAAGCTGCAACCCAGGTACATGCCCTTAGCGGGAACTGAAGCCGGGACTCTGGTCTGTGGGCTAACGCTCTAACCACTGAGCCAAACCAGCCAGGGCATGAAGTCTTCTTAAAAGGGATATATATAAATATGTGTGGGGGGAGGTTGTTATTTGAAAAAAATTAAAAATAGATTTATTAAGTGAGGCAGCCTCTCTTGATAGCCTCCCAAATCTTCTCAAAGTTATGAACCTTGTAAAAATTCTTTACCTGGACAATTTTTAAATCATTTTATTTTTATGTGGTTATCTTACCTGCTGACATCAGTACAAATGCAGAAAATAAAGCAATTTCATCTTCAGTCAGGTGCATAGAACATAAACTCTTTCCAAATTCAAACACAAAGCTAATAAAGTCTTCACAACCTGCCAAAATTAAAGACAGTTTAGGATTTTAGTTATTATCCTAGGAGAAAAATATGAAAGATCAGAGGGGATAGTGATAACATTTCTACAGTTTCATAGTTTGAAATCTTAGAAGAAAAATCTGTTTAGCCAACATCACCATCGCCACCACCACCCCCAGCATCATCTCCTCATCGTTTAAAATAATAAGGGTGAATTTCTGCTGAGTGGTTCGTATGTTAGGTGCTGCTCTAAGAGATTTCTTTGGATTTCCTACTATTTCACAACAGCCCTATGAAGGAAGTATGATTTTTATTATCCGCACGTTAGAGGTGAAGAAACAGACTTGGAGAGAAAAGTCAGATACTTAAGGTAACAGGTGGGAAGTAACACCCAGGCTGCCTGACTTCAGAGCTCACGCTCTTAACCAACAGCGTTTAACAGTACAACAGCTACAGTCTAACTGAAATGTAACACTCGCTCATTTTGGTGTTTGACTCTATTTCATCTAAAACACCCTTAAAAATACTACATATGACATATTACAGAGGTAAAATCATTACAACTGTTACAGAACTGAAAATATAGTATGTGAAAGTCCTATAAAATAGTTCACCCCCAACGACTGGTTAAGTTTGGTGTCTATTCTTTCAGATCTGCATGTTCTATATATACAGGGTGGGACAAAAGTAGGTTTACAGTTTTTCGTATGGAAAATAATACAATAATTAATAAATAATATGACAAGAATAAACTCTGTTTCGCATAGTCACGACTGTAAACCCACTTTTGCCCAACCCAATATTTTAAATGGAAATGGGCTACATTATACTTAAACATACCTACTTTATGTCATTTTCCTGTTTTTGAAATCACGTAAGATATTTAGATACTGTCCCATTCTTCTTAATGACTATACCCCATTCTATTTCAAGCACAGAAACCCAATATAAATTATTTATCAAGTACATGTCAGTTTCACTTAGTGATACTTCATTTCTCTGATATCTACATTTAATTCTCACTAATGATTGTTATCTGAGGAGTTAGAAAAGGCAGACTTTTAGCTCATCACTTGATTTTATGTATCAGATCACATCCTCTAGTTTATCTGAATAATATACCCCCTGCCTATCTGGTTCTTAAAATCTGGAAGGCCCTGGCCGGTTTGGCTCAGCAGTTAGAGAGTCAGCCTGCGGACTGCTAAGTCATGAGTTCGATTCCGGCCAAGGGCATGTACCTCGGTTGTGGTTTGTCCCCGGGCATGGTCGGGGTCTCTCAGGAGGCAACCAATTGATGTGTCCCTCTCACATCGGTGTTTCTCTCTCTCTCCCTCTCTCTCCCTCCCATTCTATCTGAACAAAAAATGGAAAAATGTACTCGTGTGAGGATTAAACAAAAAATCTGGAAGGACACTGGAAAGATACATAACATAAATTTCTCTGATTACCAACTAGACAAAATAAAACTTTAGACCTGTACGTGTAATATAGACCAAAAGGATCTAAGGTATGTAAATTTTTATAGTGTCTAGCTATAAAAGTAAGCTAGGTATAAAATTCTTTGTTTTTCCAAATAACCAGTTTCCCCTTTCTCCGATAAGAGCATTCACCCAGCTCCCATCTGCTCCTGTGTCTCTGATTTAAAGACAAAACAGCCAGAGAGTCCCTTACCTAAGGATTTGAAGACATCGGGGCTAGCATATTTCCCATCAAAGTACACGGTGTTGTTCTGAGAGTCGAAGGCACGGCACATTCTGATGAACACCACCTCTAGAGAACCTGGGCAGAGAATGGTCTGGATTAGTCCACCTCGCTGAGTTTGCTTCGAAGGCACTGACACGGAGACCCATTTCTGAGTGAGCGCCCTGGGCACTATTTTGCTAGTGGCTCTGAGTCACCTTAGCTCTCTGTCTCAAAGGGCAAAGTTCACAGGTGTCATTAAACACTTGTGCTGAGGCCCAGGCCTGCTTTACTGAAGAAAGGACTGATTCACAAATTACGTCTTTGTCACTCTTCTGTCTTGCAGTATGACGTTTCAGAGCTGCTAGTCAAACATTTATTCATATTTATGAAAACAAAAAAGCCCTGGCCAGGTAGCTCAGCTGGTTAGAGTGCTGTCCCCATACTCCAAGGTTACGGGGTACAATTCCAGTCAGGGCACATCCGAGATCGACCAATGCATGCATGCATAACTAAGTGGAATAATCAACCTCCCCCCCCCTCTCTCTTTCTCTCTCTCTCTCTCATCAATTAAAAAAAATTAACAAACAAAAACCAGGGCTGCCTCTCCAAGGTTCCAGTCTTCTTCCTAACAACTTACTGGAACCTCCAGAGAACCTGGAGCATCGAAACAAAACAGAGGTCATGGTAAGATGAGGGAATGCAGGCATCCTTCAAATTAATCTTTTCACCCAGAGGAGAAGCAAAACGGAGGGAATGTTTCCTGCAAATAGCTCAAGACCCTTTAAAAAGAACGGAGTCTCTGCTAGGAGAAACGGGAGCTATTATCATCGGAGAGAAACTGTTCCCGACACCTTCCTTACCAAGCATTTCTTTAATAGGCGGGAGAAAGCAGGTTAGGAAGAGATCTCAAAATTCACTTGCAAAGCACATACCTGCTTTGAGAAGCACAATTTGATCGTTTTGACACAGTTCCATAAATCCATCGATGCGTTTGGCAAACTCCACCACATACTGTATAGCTTCTGTGATTTTGATGGCGCACAACTGCCACATCACCTCCCGCTGCTGTTAAAGAGGAGACACGTTAGCACACGCGGGTACCCGCAGCCTCGGCTCACCGCGTTTAACTGTCCCTCTTCTGCGAAATCCTTCTTTGGAAATGGATTCAAAAGGCTAGAGGATTAACAAAATAAACAGTTGGCCAGTTGTTCTGGATATAATGACTGCTTCCAAGCCCTTTCTCCTCTCCAATTCCTCTTGTGCCTCTTTGGTGGCAAGGGGACGGGGAGAAGATGTGATGAGCATTTGGTAGCTTTCACCCTGGGCCACGGAGAATAGCAAAGCAGGATCTTCTTTTAAGCAATTATTTTGCCTTGGGGAATTTAACACCATTTTACTAGGGGAAGGGGGGGCGGGGAGAGGGAGCCAATTACATTTACTGGGTACCTGCTAGGTGCTGAGCTAGGTGCTTTATGACATCCTTGTCTCACTTCATTTCCACAAGAACATTTTCCCATTTTCCATACATGGGCACGAATGCTCACGGAGCTCTCCCGGCCGATAGGTATCGGAGCTGGGATTCAATTCCTAGCATCTCTGACTCTGAGTCCCATCCACCTGGCTGCTGCTTGCTGCTTTACTGCTTCCTTTTGCAAGGCTGGCTGCTGGTGTTCCCCGCGACCTCAAAGGCAAGCGACGTGTGCTGCTATTCCCCAACCCGTCCTATTTAGTTTTTTTTATATACCCACTCGCCAATGTAGTGACAGGGTGGCCTGGATCTGTGGTGTTGTTTCCTTGTTCCCCAAATCTTAGTTTAAGGCTGTTTCCACCAATATGATGGGGTGGAAGACACACTGAACTAGGAGCCAGGAGTCATGGTCCAGTCCTGATGTTGGCCCTCTCCAGCCAGATGCCAACAGATATCAGTTCCCTCCTATATGAAGTGAAGGGCAGCATTCGCCTAGAAAATCTCTATGGTCCTTCCTAAGCCTGATTTCTATAATCATCAGGGGGAAACGGCATTTTCTTTACCCAAAGGGAGAATGGATAATTAAGTTTCCCCTCTCCAGCCCTGCCCTCCAATTTTGGTAGCTTGTTGATCAGAATGTTTTATTAAAAAAAAAAAAGTCTAGTAGCAACACCTGTCAGCCTCACACAGCTAGGTTCAGACTGGAGTGACAACTGCAGATTTCAAACCTTTCTGTGTACACACTCGATAAACTCCTCTCAACCTCTGGAGACACGAGGCTAAGATTACTATTTTACATGAACTTCCTGACCTTGAATCAATCTTCCATTATAGCATTGGGACAAATCCCAATTCATTTAGGCTTCTGGAAACTGCTTCATTTAGCCCTCTGTTGACAAATGACAGGAGATGTGTGTACGGTTATAGGCACAAAAGAATCTGTTTGCTATTGCTGAAATTCACATGCTGGCACCTCAGTAAGACGACAATGCCTCAAGTACATAATCGGCTCTGGAAGCAAGAGTTTTAAACAGAAATCTGCTATCTGATGTCAGGCATTCATTCTCTGGTCCTTGGTAGTTTTGAGCAAATCACCTGCATGAAAACCCTCCCCCTGTTCCTTCCACAGTTCTTCAGGGTGTACCTTGTTTTGATAGCTCTCAATCTCCTCCTGCAGAAAGGTCTGCCACGTTATCTGCTGCAGCTCTTCTCTCAAGTATTGGCAAGTTTCCAGATGTGATTTAGATATATTCTGTGCAAGGTGTTCTAAGGGGAAACAGGAGATCACGACATGAAAAGCCAAGTTCTTTGGGTAATCAGTGTTCTCCCCCACTTAATAGTTGCTTTAAAAAGTAACAAGTAGTAAGCATCATGCTTAACCAGTTTTAATTATCTTTATACATTTAAACGAGCCATTTGGCACTATTCTGTATTTAGGAACATGAGGATGAAGGACAGGCAAAGCCAATAGCAATAAGTCTCGGTGACTTCAAACACATGCCTGACCTTGACCTTCTTCCATGCCTTTCCATCAGTGTTTGGGCATGAAGAAATATTGACCTAGATGGGTGTGGGAAATGACAGACACAGCCATTCTTGGCATTTTTATAAAGACACACCTGCCGTATACATTGACCAGGAAAGGATTACTCTTGAAATATTAGTACGTGGTATTCCTTTATGACAAAGCAATGCATTTCTTTAGTTTTTTTTCCCCACAAATAGCAGAACAAGCACCACTGAGGGCCTTATATGTCACTGTACATAGTGCAGTGGTTACTAGATAGACTCTGGAGCCAGAATGCCTGAGTTTGAACCTCAGCCCTGCTACTTGTTAGCTGTGTGATCTTGGTTAAGTTACTTAACCTCTCTGTGCTCTGGTTTCCTCATCTGTAAAATGATCACTGGTCAGTTTGGCTCAGCGGTTAGAGCATTGGCCCACGGACTGGACAGTCCTGGGTTCGGTTCCCGCTAAGGGCATGTACCTCGGTTGCAGTTTGTCCCCAGCCCCAGTTGGGGTTGTGTGGGTGGCAACTACTCGATGTGTCCCTTTCATGTAGATGTTTCTCTCTCTCTCTTCCTCCCTCTCTCCCTCCCCCTCTGTCTGGAGATAAATGCAAAAATGTCCTCGTGTGAGGATGAAAGAAAAAACTAAAAGAAAATGAGGAAGACAGTATCACAGGGCTTCTGTGAGAACCAGACGAGTTGAGCACTTAGGGAGGGCTACAGAGTGTGTGCTGCCTCACACAGGTCCTTATTATACTAGAGTATAGGGAGTTGGAAGATATTATAAGAAATAGATGCCAAAAAAGTTTCTCTAGGAATTTATAATCTGGTGAGCATGCATGGACATGCTGAAAGGACAATTCAAGGCATGAAACAGGAAAATATAGAATCATATCAGAAGAGAAAAAAATCGATACTAGGCGCTGTCAGGGAAGAGAGAGATGAATGTTGGCTTAGGGGAATTAGTGGGTGTCTCTTGGCAGAAGGGGGGCATCTGAGTCGGACTGTGAAGGATGGGGAGGATTTGGTAGGTGGAGGCCAGTCGTGTGAGGGGTAAGCCAGTTCCACATTTGAGGGACGGCAGATGAAGAACCAACGTAGCATTTATAGGAGACAGACAGATGTGATAAAGTGATAGAGTCGAACTAGAAATACGAGTAGTTAAGAATCCAAACGCTGAAGGATCTTGAATCTTAGGGTTGAGAGTCTGGACTGGATGTAACGAAAGGAGTCAGCAGATTCTCCAGGAGGAGCTGAGGACTAAACCCTGTGCCTGGGGAAACAGAACATGCAGTTTAGTGAGGGGCGTGTTGGAGGACAGGGAGGAGGGAGGCAGCAGCGTCACTTACAAGGCTGCTGGAATCTAGATGCCAGAAGCAGGCTGGTAATCATTGTTGTGGAAGGGAAGGATGATGAAGTTTTAGAAGAAAATTGATAAGATTCTGTGAATATGAAACCATATCAAAAAGGCATACCCCCCTCTCAGGGTCTTGAATATTTACTAAGAAAGTCACTTAAGAGAAAGGTGCTGAATGCAAACTTGGTAACAGTAGTAAGACTATTTGTTTATCTGGGAATTTGTTACTGCTTTTTGTCAAACAGAATCAGACTGTGTGTGAAAACAGAGCAGGCTCACCTCAATGAAGCTGGAAACCAGAATCTCTTTAGACACTGAGACAATACATCTTAATGGCCCTATTCACAACACACAGTCTCAAAACAATACGAGTCAATAGCATGAAAATAAAACATGAACAAAAGAAAACAATGTAAAGGAAAGACACAGAGAAGCTGAGAGAAAGAGAGAAAAGCCAGTAAATCATGTGTCTTAGAATCAATGATGTTTGTGAAAAAGCGAATGAAGCCAAAAATAATGGGAAGTCAGAAAAAATAAAATAAGTGTGTAAATAAGTTAGTGAACTATCTCCTATAGAATGAGTGCTCACAGATTCTAGAATGTAAACCAAGTCTTGTAGATATTGTAAAAAAAATGATAACGTGTTCAGAGAGGAACAGGGGGATCCTATGAGGTGAAGGGTAGGAGGAAGATCATAGCTTTCTCTTGAAGATTATGCTTTGCTCTCCAGCTACTATGCTCAGCATGTTATTATTTCACTTCATCTTAAAAATCGTTCCCACTCACCCCTGCCTGTGTGGGTCCTGCTTTCAGAAGTCATAATGAACGATACAATGTACGCGATTAACCAGTAGAGGGCAGTGGCTGCTTTCTTGCCAACTGTTCACCAAGGGCCGTTGAGTCCCAACTCACAGGTTGATTTGGGAAATGTAAGATCTTAGACACTTTGCTGTTTTTAAATCTCCATTTCAACAAGGGCAAACATGGTCAGACTGAGTAAGAGTCAACAAGTTAGTGTGGTCTCTCAGAGAAACAGCCTGGAATAGTGAAATACTTGGGAACTAAGAGTTAGGAGACCTGATTTCTGCTGAGTTCAGAGGATAACTCACTTTGTGATGGGCAAATCAGTTTACTTTCTCAATCAGGATTGCTTCATCAGTACAGCCAAGGTGTACTACATGCTTCAGATGGAAAATCCTGACTTCTGAGTTATCCACAGATTTTTCTCAGTGGAAGGAACTTTAGACATCATCTGGTCCAAACTCTCTTCAGTTTACAGATAACAACATTGATGGTGATAATATTAGTTAACACTTATGTAGCGTTTCCTGTGTGCTATCCACAAATATATATTCAGAATATATATCTTACTTTATCTTTGTAATAACCTTAGGAGGAAGGGTTGCACAACTTATTGCAAAGCCAGGACAACCCATATAAGCTGACTTCTTGTCTCATGCTCTGTCTAGCATGTCACTGTCTCTCTTGCACAGGCTTTAATTATTGATTACAGTAATAAGTGAAGTTAGGGGTGTGTGTGTGTGTGTGTGTGTGTGTGTGTGTGTTTTAATGAACCTAGATCACTTATGTGGAATATATCATTCAGGTACTAATTGCCCATCAAGGGCAACATTTCCTAGCCATGAATGCAGATGTACTCCCACTAAAAGTAATGGATGTGGACACTATTATTGAAAGATAGAAATGGGCTTCTGATATGTTAATTTTCAATTTGTTTTCCAATTGAATAATTGTTTTCATTTGTGTAAAACGTGATGACGAAGTTTAGTCCGAAATGAAGTCAAGAATCTTAGTTAAAGAGATAGCAGGACTTCAGCCCCAAAGGAAATACAGCTTTGAAGAAGGAACAGCAAAGTCTTCGGCCATTTTTATGCCGCTCTTGGCTCTTCAAATCAGTTATATCATTTTCAGATAAATTCTCGTTTAAGTTTTGGGTTTGGTTCTAATCCTAGCGACAAGTTAATTTCATTCATCCTGGAAAATGCCACACACAGGTAAGAATTCCCTAATTTAGAAGAACATGGAGAAAGCACGAGGGCACACGGCTCCCAGACCACCCTGGGGGGTGACAGGCCGAGGAGGAAGCTGGGGAATCGGCTTAGCCCCTTCTGGCCCCACTCGGTTCTGACACACGGTTAGCCAAAGTGCCATGTTCCCAGACAACACTCTGGTGGAGCCCCGTGGATTTATTTCAGGGTTGATAAGCAAACAGGAGAGATTCACTAAGATAAGGTGGAAGCAGACCTAAGGTAAAGCGAGCCAGGTCATTTTCCATGATAGCATGTCAGCTTTCAATCAAATCCTTATTCATTTCTGAAAATTTCACTTTTCATTACAGTTCCGCTTCAGGCTCAGCCAACCAAGATTTCATGACAAAAATGGAAGGTTTTTGTTCTAGTTCAAGAAAAATAAAATCAAACCTACCTCTGCTCAGCTTGGCTTCTAGTTCAGAGGTTTCTCTGTTAATCAAAAGAGCTGTGATACACCTTCAATGCTGCCCAGTGGTTAAAGACCAGGCTTAAAATGTCCCTGCTCTTGAGGATTTAAATTTAGACCCATAAAGAGGCGCTTGTGCAAAAACCGTAAAGAACATTCAATTTGTTCTATTTGGAGAAGGATTTTACTGGAAATATAAATTTCACTTAAAAAATGTTTTATGGAGTACAGAGGTGGAGAAACCATCTAAAGAACACAACCGCCTTTTTTTTTTCTGTGAACTGAGAATTTCTGTGCTGAAGTCAGAACCTGCTGGTGCTGTCCCTCTGAGGTCTTCATTCTCTCCTCGTATTAACTGAGTATCTCCACGGCACTAATTGAAATATCCCAAAGGATTATAACCTTGTGCCAGGAGTCATGGGGAGGAACAGATCAAATTCTAAAACTGCAAAGGTTCTTATCAAAGTGCCTCTGACATCAGGGTTGTGCAGAAAGACTGATGACATGTAACAGAGGATGCCAACACAACTTCCTTGAAACGGAAAGTTTTCCATTGCCTGCGTTCTCAACATTTCTCGGGCACATCACCCAAGAGGCAAAAATGTCGCGGGAATGAGGAATTGGCAGTTTTTGGTTTTGTCTTTTGGTACGGCAAGTCTTCTATCAAATACATCAATTTTGTCACCAACATCCATCACTAAAACACACTGGCATATAAAGGAGCCAAATTCCCTTTAATACTTATAGAATACACCAGGGTTGCAAAACTTAGATGCCTGCAAAGGCTGGGCAGTGACACGGACGGGGGAGGTGGGGTGGTGGTGGTGGTGGGGGCGGGCCCACCCGGGCCCACCCAAAGGGGTTCGCGCCTAACGGGTGCCACTGAGTTGTGGCCGGTTCCCTTATACCTAGATCACTTCTCCCCTCCTACAAGAAGCTGACAATCTGATTTTTTGTGTGTGTGGAATCGACCAGGTTTTAAATTTTGGCTACCGATTCCAAATGTTAAGACTCTGCACTGGTCAAAAAAAAAAAAATGTCTATGGACCAGGTTGTTTGTGGACTGCTATTTTTATGACATTAGGTATACAGCAATACCTGGACTACAACTAAGCAAATAACTAACAAAGTTACTGGGACCATTCCCTGAGCTGCCCAGTCTTCTGTGGAATTGTGAGACGCTTTGTGTTGGTGTTGACCCGTCTCTGAGGCCGAGAGGTCGATGTCTGTCTGCACAGACGGTGGGAAACAGCCAGAAGCTGTGGGGTAACGAGGTGGTGGAATTGTGAGGTGGTCCGAATGGCAAAGGCGAATTTCCCTTCTAGCTGCCTCATTTGAATAACGTAACTCATTGGAGGAAAGTCATCCACACCCCGTTTACTTCCCAGGACACACGCAGCGCGTCGCAATAGAAACGCGGAGGCCATTACCTAATTCTGCCATGGACACAGTTGGGGAAGTCTCTCCGTTGGTGAAAGAACAGTAGGGAAAGAAGCCTGATGCTGGTGTGTAGTCACATATTGGTTCTGGTTTGATTCCATTGATATCAAGACCTGACTGGTCCGGGGAAGGCTGTATGTCCAGGTAGAAGCTGCTGACGGCAGAGTCTGCCTTGCTCCCCTCGGGAGTGTGCCCGTCGATGTAGCTGCTGAGGTCGTCGTGCAGTTCCGTCAGCCCGTTGGCCGAGATGTTGTAGGTGGGGGTGAGCGGCTCGGCCTCCCCGGGCTGCTGCTGGTGGTCTCGCTGCTGCTGCTGCATGCGGTGTTTCTGCACTTCTGCATACAGGCTGTCTCTCTGCTTTTTCGACATTCGGCCAAACTTTACAGCTGGAAGAAAAAAGCCAAACCACACCATGTGCCATATGCTTTTCTTCACTCTCCTCTCCAGCGTGCTCTAGGGGTTCCTTTGAAGTCTCAGACAATCTCAGTCACAAACCACAGAACCACAAAATAAGGACGTGATCCAGGGGTGGAAACAGTTCCACCCACACCCACAACAGCAAAGACACATCCCAGAGGAGCTAAGGACGGGCAGGCAGAAGGGACTTGGGGCAATGACCACCTGGGTTCCTGTGGTCATAGGACCCTGTGCTCATGGGCCCCTGGCACGTGACTGAGGGGCCATCTCTCTCTCTGCAGCATTCAGACCAATGCAGACTCAGAGGTACATCGAGGCGCACGCAGTCAAACCTCCTTTTCATTCGCTCCGCTATTCTGTGCACTCGAATAGGAGTCTTTTCTATCAAACAGCTGAATCTGGGGATTCACTGAGAGATGGAAACAGACTGGAAGAGGCCTTTGCAATTCCCTGAATGACATCTCTGAGTCTACCTGAGGAGCCCGGCCCTGCGCCGAGGCATGGTGGCCCCGAAAAGTGACTGGATCCATCTTTAAACACTTTCTCCTGTTCTTATTTTGCCTCAGGTAAAAAGAGTCTCGGAATTGTGGAAAGGAAACCCTGTGTAAGATTCCTCCCCACTGGAAGAATCTGTGTTAACACTCCTTGTGATGTCCCGCATTTAAAGTGGAGCAATGACTGGGGTAACTTTCCAGTTCATTCAGAGTCCCAAATGATTTCTAAAACACCCATATATTTGAGGGAAAAAACCCTATTATTTCCTGGTTTCAACTCTCCCACTAACCCACTTATTCTTCAGCCCGACCTGTATATTTGGATAAAGCCTCAGCTGGAGGGACTACGTTGTCCTAACTGATTATGGTTAAATTTATACCTGATGGGGCAGATGAATTCACCCATTTGACCATCATAGTTATGTGAGTCTATGGGAAGAAAGCAGGTGGATGGAATGGAGTGGACTCTTTCCCGCCAAGGACGACATACTGTCCTTCTGCAGAGAGGGAACAAGTGAGCGCGATACCGGTCGATTTCCGGGTTCCAGGCCTGAAGGAACAATGTGGCTGGGGCTCCTCAGACAGCATCTTAGCTGATGCGGGCTCAGAATTTCAGGCCTAAATCTGGATAAGCCCCCACATTCACGCCAAGCCCACCACAACCCTGTGCCGCTGTCTCCGCCACCCGGAAGTCTCCAGAAGGCATCCTGCAGGCACCTGATTGTTTTTGGAAGAATCTGTGTTCTAGGACACCCAGGGGGAATAACACCCACAAGTGAAGGTTGTTCTGCTGGGACTCTGAATTGGGTATTAACATTTGCCTGAATATTAACAACAGTAATCACTCCACCCTGTAGGCGAAATGAAAAGCCCAACTACTGAGAAAATGCACACACACTTTGTGATTTTAACTTAAAAGTTCATGACAGATGAACCCCACCTTGTGGGTTTAGTGCCACCGGAGGACGGAATCTGCAGGGCTGCGTGTCACAGGAGTTTCTGAGAATACGGCGTAGTCCTGTGACGTGCAGGTTCTGAGGGCAAACACTCTACTTCTGTTTCTACATATTCTAAGAGGCCCCCTGTGGAGGTATCACTACTCGTGCCTGGGCGGGCCCACAGGCCCAAGAACATCTGATGATGGGGAAGCCAGGCTTGCAGAATGCCTGCCCAGCACCCTGACGTACTTTTCCACAAGCTGAAACTCTATCGGGAGAGCTGTTTCCTTCAAAGGGATCATTAAGAGAACCAGCCAGTGTATGCGGAAAGGTCCTTCAAACACACCCACTCTACTTTCTGCCCAGTTCCCTTCCAGAAGAATAACTGTCTTGAAATCTGGTGTTGATTATTCAGTGCACTTAGGCTACTTTTCCAGGAAGACCTTGAAATGTTCTGCAATTGAATGGTAGATGGTCTCTATTTTCCTAAAATAGCTTCTTTTAATGAAAAGAACATTTGTCATTGAGCCACATTTTGCACTATTTTCACACATTCTGCATGTACAAATATTTGACTTTGGCATGTGATTCAAAATACCCAGTTAGCATAAAAGCTACTTCAACCCCACCGCCAATAAGCTCACTTAGCGGAGAGCAGGTGACGACTGTCTCCTTCGGGGAAATGCCTGCAGGAGGTACACTTCCTAAGGCCCTCGGGTGACACTAACCTTCAATCAATTCATCCACTTGTAACAGCTTAAACATAAAAGATCCAAAGGTGTTCTGACCACACCTTCCATGCATCTCCCATCAGCCAGTCAGCTGACTCTGATGGATTATGGAGGAGGCAGTGACTGGTGTGAAACCCACAAAACCGCCAGGGCCTCGAGGGAGGGCGTATTTGGGCAGATCTGGGTCTGGTTGTCAGAAGGCACTTTCATAACCTCATGCTGCCCGACAACTGGAGCTGTGAGTGCTCACCATCTCGAGACATCCCCACGGCAAGGCATTTCTGTAATCGACAGTGCTGGCAGCGGTTTCTACTGGTCCGATCGATCAAACAGTTCTTCTGACGAGGACAGGAGTAGGTGGCGTTGCTTTGCTGACTTCTCCTGAAAAAGCCCTGTGATTCGGTTATAAAATATAGAACAGGTTAGTGTTCGTTCGAGCTGTACGATACGAAAGGCTGTACACTAAGAACTGAGCATTAATATTTAATGAGAGTTAAACTTGTAGCAGAATCAATCCAGGAGACCATTCATGAAATTAAAGTCACTTCTTTTTCCTTGAGTGAAATTGATCCCCAGAGCCCAATCCTCTGTCCCTTACACGTGCAGAACTTTCCTGAACTCCAACAGAAAGGTGCCCTGTCCTTGGCTTCTGGTGATCAAAAGCAATGGTTTATGAAACAGTACAAAGTCACTTACATTTAACCTTTAGCTCCAAAATATTTTTAGTAGAATAAACACAAAAGACTTCTCTGGATGTCCAGAGATAGTGAAAACGCATCGGACTCTGTGGTAATCGCTACTAACCCACTTAAAACCACCACTCTTTAGGTGAGATTCCCCAGGCCAGAATCCACTGCCCCCAGAAGTTAAATGACAAATGAGCCTGAATGGATTCTTTTGGCAGATCAGACAGATGGGAAACACTCAACCCTGACCATCTGAAAATACCACGTGTTCAGTATCGTGACCTTTACGATTTAACGAGTCCAATTTGGTGTTCAGCAAGTCGCACTCGTTCGTTGAGCACTGTTTTGGAGATGAGAGGATGTACAAAGGTGCGTGGACGCTGCCGACGTCAAGGATTTCACTCACTCACTCATTCATTTGCTAACTTCTCGAGCTGGATCCTTACTAGGTCATTCATTTTCAGTATTTCTTCCTAAAAGTGCACATTTCCCTCAGTTATGTTTGGGTAGCAACCCACGAGTTTTATGTAGCATTTTCATTATCATTCCATTGAAAACATGCTCTAATTTTCAACAGAGTTCTTCTGGAAGCCACATGTGATTTAGAAGCACATTTCTTACTACCCAAAGACATGGGCAGTTTTTGGTTATCCTTTTATTGTTGAGTTATCTCAGTGGGTTTGCAGTACTCTTAAGAAAGAGAAGGTAACCGAGTTATTTCCACGAAGCAGAGCCACAAAGTGTACAAAAGAGTATTATCATCTTCAGATCTTTAAAGGTTAAGATAATGATGCCAACCAAAGGGACCCTAGCGGAGAGGGGAAAGGTAAAGTCCCGAAGAACTGACAGTGATGGGCAGACCGATAAGGGTATCCTCCCTCACCCCAAAATTTTTCTGGAGGCCGACTGGGAAGCTGTATCACAATCCTTAAAAACCACTTATCCCTTGAACTAGTAACTACTCTTTTTTCCCCCATTGATTTTTAGAGAGAGTAGAGGGGGGGTCAGAGAAACATCGATGTGAGAGAGACATGTTGATTGGTTGCCTCTTGCATACCCCCCAACCAGGGCCAGAGATTAAATTAAACCTGCAACCCAGGTACATGCCCTTGACTGGGAATCCTTTGGTGCATAGGCTGATGCTCTAGCCACTGAGCACACCATCTAGGGCATGAACCAGTAATTACTCTTTCAGGGAATATACATATATATTCAGGGAAAAATATATCTATCTCTCTATATATATCTATATACTTTTTATCCTCACCCAAGGACATTTTTTGCATTTATCTTCAGATAGGAGAGAGAGAGAAACATTGATGTGAGAGAGACACATCAAGTGGCTGTCACCCACACAACCCCAGCTGGAGCCGGGCACAAACTGCAACTGAAGTACGTGCCCTTAGCAGGAACCGAACCCGTGACTCTCTGGTTCGCAGGCCAACACTCTAACCACTGAGCCAAACTGGCTAGGGCTCAGGGAATATATTTTAAAGGAATACAAAGATTGACCTACAAGGATATCCACCACAGCATTACCTGAAATATAAAACAATTCAGAAAGATGCTAAATGTCCAACATTAGTGAATTGGAAGGCTCAGGTTGGATATCCACACATTCATATACTGCTGAATTTAAAATAAACAGCTGAAAACTAAACACATATAATCCAATTTTTGGTAAAAGAATCCATATATTTAACATAGAAGAAACTTTGGAAAACTATGTCCCCAAGTGAAAAGAATTATTGGCACCGGTTGGTGGGGCCACAGGTGACTTTAACTTTACCCGTGCTTTAAACATACCTGTGCTTTCTGGTTTCCCTACATGCAGGTGGAAAAGCATGTGAGACTCGGGAAAAACAGTCTAGTACACCTGCTCTCTCCTGTGATGGCTGGGGACTACGTGGATGAAGCCGACAGATATGACGCTATGACCTCAGTTCCCAGGTCCGTCCCTTTGGCAGCCAGGACAGGAGGGAGGGACCGGGCACTCACAGGTCCTCTCTGATCACTGCTAGGCTGCTCACTGACCTCAACGTGGGCAGAGCATGTCTCTCTACTGAATTTAAACCTTCCTTATAGCAATTCTTCTGTGAAGCAATTTCTCTTTTCTCAAAATATCTAACGCTGTGGGTTGTTGTTGTTGTTTTTTTTCCTCTGTGAAGAGGAAGTGAGAAGGAAAGCTTTCTTTGGGGCTTAATGGTGAGAATTCAAGAAAATATAAATGGTAACAGAGGCAATCATCCTTAGAAAGAGATACCAGGAGGCCAACTGTCAGGCATTCAGCTTCGCCTGACACATAATCCCTGTCCAAGCTAAAAGGTATTTCTTTCTTTCGTGAGATCGTACCACATTCAGACCTTCTGTGTCTGAGTCTATCCCTGCAAATGTCTAGGGTTGGGAATTATTTGCTCTTCCTTTAGTTGAGGCTGAACTTTGTTTGCTTGACAGTGAGCCTGTTCCATTTTGTTCTTTGATCACTGACTATAGACACTGTTCGAGTGACCTTTTCTTCTATAAATGGAAGCCGTGGTTGGGGTCTGCCAAGCTATCAACCGGTATTTAGTCTGTACACCAAATCATAACATCTCCCACCTTCCTTTCCACCTTTAGTATTTCTTCTCAGGATCATCTCCAATTTCTCCACTTCCTTCAAAAACCTGAAATCTAGAACTAGATACATCTCTTGAATAATGATTGAGTCATTAACGAAAGGGATGCTATTTTTCAGTTTCCACATGTTAAACTCAAATTAACATCGACCACCACTAACAAAGTTCCAGAATGTTAGCACAGAAGCCATATATAACCACCAGTTTGCTCTGCTATAAGGAAACTCTCAGGGGCGAGGAGGAGGAGGAGGAGGAGGAGGAGGAGGAGGAGGAGGAGTTGTTGTTGTTGTTGTTGTTGTTGTTGGAGGGTGGAAAGGAAGAAGGAGGAAGGGAGGGGAGGAGAAGGGGGAGGATGATGACGATGGTTTGGGGACAGCAAGGGAGCAAACAGACACCTTGTTCTTCACGGCACCATTTCTTCTTCATTGAGCCGCTGAACTAGCACCTAGAGTAGCAGAGCTAAGCACCAGAGAAGAGATCTTTCTTTTGGACTAAGTCAACAGCCATGGCCACAAGGAGAGCTGTCACACACTAGACAGGAGGGGTCAGTGGGATTATAAAGAGCCCTGAAGGGAGAGAGCGTTAACCTCTGTGACAGAGATAAACACGGACCTGCAAGCCAGACGGAACGAACGCTTGGTCCTCCTCCCTGCACCGGCTCTTCTTTTCTGCATTCCTTGGGGTTTCTCAGAGGTTTAAGGATTTAGTAGGTTAAACTAATAAAATATTTAAAGTCAGTGAACACATAAAAGGGAGAAATATTAGAAGAGTGAGGAAGAAAGGTGGAGAGTGTGGAGGGGCCTCCCTGGGTAAACGTAGGTGTATGCGCATGCATGTAGGAGAGGATCCTGACTGACTGGGGGCAGTCCTGGAGAGGGTTCACGAAGAAAGGAGTGGGCTGCCCTGGCCCGTTGGCTCAGCGGTCAGAGCGCCAGCCCGCGGACCAGAGGAGTCACGGGCTCCATTCCAGGTAAGGGCATGGACCTTGGTTGCGGTTCCTCCTGGCCCTGATCGGGGCCTTGGGGAGACAGCCAGACGACGTCTCTCTCTCACGTGGATGTTTCTCTCTCTCTCTCCCTCCCTCCCACTCTATCTGAAGATAAATAGAAAAATATCCTCGGGTGTGGATGGAAAAAAAAAAGAAATAAGTGAGCTGAGACATCAGTTCTAGGGGTCAGGGAGTTGGAAAGAACAGGGGTAGTGCAAGCCAGTGCTTGGAGTTCTGGGTGGAAGGGACGAGGTATGTAGAAAGAACAGAGAAAGTGTGAAGCTGTTAGTTGGGAAAGATATTAAGCACATAATTTGGACGTTTTATTTCGAAAATATGAGCTAGTAAATTATTTCATTAGCTTCTTCTTAAAAGTTCATTTTTAACAGATGTTAAAATACATGGAGCTGTGCCATTATAAACTTGTTGGGCTGGAGCAGAGAGCCACCATGATGAATTTTAAGGGAGTAAGGCCTTGGTGTGACTGTGGCACATTAGCCCCACCTAGCGGCAGCAAACTAACATGCAGTTATTACAAAGAGCAAATTAGAAAACAAACAGGCCTAGAGAGGGAGGGAGTTGAGAGACGACCAGTTTAGTAGTTCTCAAAAAGACACAGAATCGCCCACTGAGCTGCTAAAAAAATGCGCTTTTGGTCTACTGAACTAGAACCTTTGGGGATGTAGTCCAGGCATACATTTTACTTAAACAATATGAATTTGTCACTTCTGTAGGTCCAAAGAACAGAGATGTCAATTAAAAAATATTTTATTGAATTTATTGAGGTGATATTGGTTAACAAAAATACATAGGTTTTTGGGGTACAATTCTGTAATACATCATCTGTGTACTGCATTGTGTGTTCACTACAAGTCAAGTCTCCTTTTATCACCATTTACCCTCCTTTTACCCTCTCCTACCTCCCCCCTCTCCCCCTTCCCTCTGATAATCACCATACCGTTACCACACTGTTGTCTGTCTATGAGGTTTTTTTTTGAAAAAAAAAAAAAAAAGTCTTTATTGATTTTTTAGAGAGAGAAGAAGGGAGAGAGAGATAGAAACATCGATGTGAGGGAGAAACATCGATCAGCTGCCTCCTGCAC